GTTGTAAACAAGAACAAAGAAGTACCGACCCAGCACGTTTTATGCAACAAATGTGTTCTGGCAAGATCTGTAATAGAAAAGTTCAAGAATAGAGTAAACCTTCCAAAATGAAACCAGAAACAATCTCTTTGCCGCTTTGAAATTGTTTTGTTCAGGCTAAAATCAAGAAGAAAGGCCTGACGACACTTTAAATTAGAGCGGCATCAAAAGCGTCACTTTAATCATTAACATTATGCGTACGCAGGAAGACAATTTTTGAAATTGTATTTTTAATCTGATCAACATCTGCCAAAATAATTGCCTAAACTCTAAGAATAGATTTGAAGAGTTGAAGAATACCGGTTTAATATATTAGGATTACAATACACTGTAGGACGTTGCCTATTGTATGAATTGTAAAATGTATACTAGGATAAACACGAGCGTACCCTGAGATATTTGCTTTGATAAAACCCAGCTATCTGGTCGACCCAAACCTTTATATACAAGGAAAATAAATGAAAATAACGTGAGTTCAAATATTATTTTTTATTCACTTTCATTTTATTCTTTTTCATACATTGGACAGTTTCATCAAGGGAGTGTTCGCGAAAAATTAAAGGGGGTATAGGCTTACGTCGAAAAATATTCGATGGTCATTGCTACCAATCTTACGTCCATCTGAAACTTTATAAGGAGAAAATTGTTAAAAACGACTTATACCGAATAACGTAGCGCCCATACAAATTCAGAAAGTTGCAATATTCGAATCTGATCGTAAAAAATCAATTTAATTCCAAACAAATCATTCAGATATTACAACCTATAATTATCTATTTTTTTCGACGCATTCGTATATCATTCATATTTCATAATGTATTTTATAAACTCGTTTCATTTTTCTCGAACACTCCCTTTAAAATCAATTGATTTATTTTCTAGTATGTACGGTCACAGAATAGAAGTCCTGAAAAAAATAAATCCAGAAAACAAATTTGAAATCAGAATTGCCATTATTCTCATATCTTCAAAGTGTGGTCACTTTTTTATTTTAAAAAATGAGAAAATGTCGCTTTTATTGAAGAAACTCACATACCACGTAGATTTAACGGTTCTGCCAATGTTCCAGAAAGCTGTGACTTTCGATCATAATTTGACCCATTAATCATTTAATAATAATAATATAATAAATAGTCCGTGGTGATACAGACAACTAGATTTTAGAAATCCCACCGGGACTCGGGATATGTGAATTTATTTCTTATATTTGCGACTGAATTCTACTAAAATCGAAAGCTAGTTCAAACTTATACAACTTGTATACAGCAAGTCATCTAATTATGGTCCAAAGAGCGACACCCAGGCAACACGAACCTTTTAGATCGATTTGCTATACAGTACCGAGCCCCGCTATTCAGTTATACTAAAAATTAAAACATTTATTACGTAGTAAGGGAGTTTGGTTTGTTGAAAATGTTCACTAAAGTATATTATAGGCTCCGGGGATGTCCGGTCCTCCCTCGACCAAAGTTAGGTAACAGATGAATTTTTCATATTTTAATAAAATTCAGATTAGTCATTCTGGAAACCTTTAAATCTTACAGTTCGGTGTTAAGATAGCGGTGTCACAAAAATAATCTACAGCATGGCGTCTTTTTTGATACGGAAAATGTAGTTCAAAAGTTTCGTTCTAAAAACCTTTAATTTTATTTGTCCATAACATTGTCCAATATGGCCATCACCTTTTACATGGCAAATGAATTCTTGATAGAAGAAAGATTGTAGGAAGTAAGAACGGTTTACTTCCAATCTAAATAATAACGAAAATGTTGAAAATTTTCAATCTTAAAAGTACTATACACAATTTGACTTCAGAGTTATAATCAATTTTTTTGTCATTTTACCTTTTTCCTTGCAATCTCTTCAAGACTATGTAAGGTAATTGAACTGAGTATGCAGTGTTGTGGAAAAATTCTTTAGGATTCATTTGAGACATATAAAACTTTTTTAAGATCTGTAAATTCTGAGTTTGAGGTTAAAGTCGACGTTCAAAATCGTACTTTTGGGTGGATACGTTTTCAGAATTATTTTTTTTTTCAATTATTAAATAACAAATGTTAACAAAATTCTACAGTAAACTAATTAAGTTGTTTGGAACAGGTTGAGAAAATAAAAATTAATCTTAAGTAATCTCTTACAGGACGTGGGTCAAACTCTAATGAAATGCATAAAGTAACTTCCAGTACATATATTTCTTATAACTTATTACTAGAGGGTTCAGAACATGAGTAATTATCGATATCACACGTGTAGACTTTCAGTACAATGCCCCGTATCCGTTCTATCTCATTTCGTTGAATCTTGTGGGATTTGTTTAATGCGGCCAGGCATCATCTTCCACAATCTTGTTCAATTATTAGTTTTTATTTTCACATTATTCTAGTTTCTCATTAGTCACAAAGATTTTCTGCAGATTTTCTGGAATTATTATTGAAAAGACGACATTTGTAGAATTTGTAGAAATCTGCGAGCAAATTCATAGAAAATATGAAATTCAATATAAGGATGAAAATAAAATAATTGATTCTAGCATTGATTTATTGACAAATTTCTTTTGAGAAATATGTTCCTAACCATCTTATTAGTTTACTGTATAATTTTTACTTTATATTTCGTTGTCATTGTCAAACTCAGTAATTATCCATCGTGGAAAAGTTTTGTATGTCTCAAATGAATTCTAAAGAATTTGTCCACAACACTGCATGCTCAGTTTAAATACCTTACATAGTCCGTCTGTCCCTTTAATGGATGTTGATCAAACATAATTATAAATATATCTACGAAGAGATTCTATATTATTATTAAAAACAACTTGTTTGATTAAAGTCGACCTATAGTCGATTTGAACCCATACTATAGTTCATAATCCCATAATAGTTCATCTAAACCCATACTATAGTTCATAATCCCATAATAGTCCATCTGAACCCATACTATATAGTTCATAATCCCATAATAGTCCATCTGAACCCATACTATAAAGTTCATAATCCCATAATAGTCCATCTGAACCCATCATAGAGTTCATAATCCCATAATAGTCCATCTGAACCCATACTATATAGTTCATAATCTCATAACAGTCCATCTGAACCCATACTAGAGTTCATAATCCCATAATAGTCCATCTGAACCCATACTAGAGTTCATAATCCCATAATAGTCCATCTGAACCCATACTGGTATTTCTGAACCAAAAGTTGTCTATATCTGCACTCGTACTGGTCTTTCTGAACCATAGAGAATTCTCTATGTTCTGAACCCAACCCAAAATAGTCTTTCTGAGCTCTTTCTAATCCATCTGTACCTATACAAGTCTATCAGAATCCCATTTGATGTCTCTGAACTCATCCTAGTCTAACCACACATAGATCCAGGCTGTTATAAAAAGTTTTATTAATTTTTAATACTGTGTAGACTTCTAGCTTACTTAAACAGAAGTAATTACCTAAATACGGATCCATTTGTATTTTAAACCAAACTATTGTTTGTCTAAACCCATACTAGATTATTTAAAACCAAACTGTTGTTTGTCTGAACCCAAACTAGATTATTTGAAACCAAACTTTTGTTTATCTGAACCCACACTAGATTATTTGAAACCAAACTATTGTTTGTCTAAACCCACACTAGTTAATTTTAAACCAAACTATTATTTGTCTGAATAAATCCAGCGTGTATGAACAAAATCTATTCCGTCTGTGTGGTTTTTGTTTGTGTTGAATATTTTTCCCATAAAACCAACCCCGGGCTCATTTACGTTGGTTTCTTGTGTTCCTCAGTATTCTGGGTAGACCCTGGAGTAGGTAGATGGATGTGTGGGAGGGGTTTCCATATCTGGGATTTCAAGATCCAACATTCAGTATCTTCACACTCACAGCGCTGAACTCACTTATAACACTAGATTTTGGGGAGTAGACACATGGTTCAAGACTAGGGGAGTAGGCACATGGTTCAAGACTAGGGTTTAAGGATTAGAAACATGGTTCAAGACTAGGGGAGTAGACACATGGTTCAAGACTAGGGTTTAGGGAGTAGATACATGGTTCAAGACTAGATTTTAGGAAGTAGAAACATGGTTCAAGACTAGAGTTTAGGGAGGAGACCCATGGTTCAATACTAGAGTTTAGGGAGTAGAAACATGGTTCAAGACTAGAGTTTAGGGAGGAGACACATGGTTCAATACTAGAGTTTAGGGTGTAGAAACACGGTTCAAGACTAGAGTTTAGGGAGGAGACACATGGTTCAATACTAGAGTTTAGGGAGTAGACACGTGGTTCAATACTAGGGTTTAGGGAGTAGAAACATGGTTCAAGACTAGAGTTTAGGGAGTAGAAACACGGTTCAAGACTAGAGTTAAGCAATTCTTCAATGGGTGGAACAAAGATGTAATCTAAATCATTAGTTTTGGTTAAAATCATGATTACAGATCTAACCTAGATTTGTTTGATTGTAGATAACGTGCTGAAACTGTTTTTGTAATTCTTAAATCATTTAAAAAACGTCAAATTATGAAAATCTTATCTTAAATTAAGCCTAAAGCTAAAGTAAACAACCTGGGTTTGGTTTGCATTAAACCCAAGCCTAGTCTAGACCCTGAGCAGGGGCAGGTGCAGTTTAAATTCATCTTCAACTCTGGAAAATAATTAATCTTGCACCCGAGCATTCATCTTCTTTGTTCATTTAATTAGTTTTCCCTTTAAAGATCAACCCGATTTCAAATTCTGTGATATGGTGATGGACTAAAGCTCAGTAGAGTAAATATTAGTAGATATTAGTTATCATTTTTTGACCAGGCCAAGAACTTTCCCGTAGTTCTACCGAGCTCCCAAATCTAAAGTTGAGGCAAATCGGTCAATGGGTTCTTGAGTTATAATCGGACAGACAAACAAACAAATATTACAGTATGGATTGGATAGAAGATCAAAAGTGCCAAGAAAAAAACACCAGGAACGGGCCTCATATCTTTGTTTACATAAACAATGTACTGTAGTTTTTAGACGAAGGGAACAATCCATGAGTGCTGCTCAAGCGGAGTTTTTTATTCCTTCCGGAAACCCCGTCAAAAGAAGACCAAATTCTTTAATAACTTGGGGTTTTTTTTCTTCCATTTTTTCCAGATTGTAAACAAGAACAAAGGATTGTAATCAAGAACAACGGTTGTAAATAAGAACACGGTTGTAAGCAAGAACAACAGTTGTAAACAAAAACAACGGTTGTATACAAGAGCAACGGTTGTAAACAAGAACAAAGATTGTAAACAAGAACAAAAATAATAATTAAGAACAAAGGATTGTAAACAAGAACAATGGTTGTAAACAAGAACAACGATTGTAACTAGAAACGGCAATTGTTATCAAGCCTTGGTCACTGGTATAAAAATTGCTAAGCCTGTTCACGTAATTACTGTTTACTAAATGTTCTTTGTCTACAATTAATTCAATTTCAGATCTGTCCTTATGTACGTCACACAAAAATGTAAACACATTATCATCCTTCTCTTCTTCTTAAATCTAAACCTCATATATATATATACATAGATAAAAGCATATATATATGCAAAAGCATATATATCATTCACCGCTTCAAGATTTATCGTAATGCATAGTTTTTGTAATTCATTCACTCATTTAATAATCAAACACAAACCTTCAAGTTTTAGCACTTTTCAGATCTAAATTGGAACCAACCCGGAGATGTTGGTTTGGGTTGTAGGCGTGGTTGCTCTGGTAGGAGGAGCAGCAGCTCAGTGCAGTCCGTCTCCGTGTGGGATAAATACTCAGTGTGATGTTAATCCAGCTGGAGCAGCTGTTTGCAGGTCAGCCTTTTCCTGAATAAACATACTGTAAAATAAATACGGGAATTGAAAACTATTATTCGTAGCTTTTATTCAATTTTAACAATTTTCGTATCATAAAAGTTACTGTCGACGTATTTTCTACTGGCATGTTTCATTCACAGTGGAACTCTTCAAGCCTTTATCTAAATACCATTCCTTTCTTATAAAGTGTTTCATTCCAACGATTTCCTTCATTGTTTCTTCTGCCAGCCAAAATGCGCAAGTCACTTTTACAGAGAAACTACAGTAAAAATAAGTATTGAACTTAAGTCTAGTGAATCTTGGGATCAAATATTGAACTTAAGTCTAGTGAATCTTGGGATCAAATATTGAGCCTTAAGTCTAGTGAATCTTGGGATCAAATATTGAACTTAAGTCTAGTGAATCTTGGGATCAAATATTGATTTGTGAAATATAGATGTCAATCCGTAAATTATTCTCAATTTAACTAACATTAAGCCTCTTTTGCTATTTAATTTTTTTCTCAAATCATTTTTTTTCTTTGAATATTCGATTTTAATATTACATAATAAACTTCTTCACAAAATATTATAATATCATGTTTTCAAGAGACCGTAACAGATCTTCCAAAAAACAAAACCATTTAAAGATCAATTTTCAAACTCTTGAATTGTCTTTAATCCCATGATTAATTCCATTTTCTGTTGTTTTTTTCAAAATATTTTTATCATTTGAAGATATCGTTGTAAAGGATACAATGATACAAAAATGATTTATAAAAAAAATGAATATTTACTTAAAAAATAAGAAACCATTGTTGCCTAATGTCGAGGCCTAAGTCTATGTCCAGATGTAAAAGACGGTTTCCAGATAATCTAGTTGTGTAATATCCACCCCCTCACTTAACCACACCCTCTATACAGGTGCTTGCCGGGATACGACCACGCCCCAGGCTCCAATACTATAGAAGGTGGGCGGAGTTTAGACCTTTAATTATACAATCCTTCTTCGAATAAAACTCAAACAGACACAATTATCAATGATAATTTTTTAACTTTTCTTGGCATTTACAAAGTAAAAAAAGTCCGAGATATTTTAAATTTAAAAAAAAAACTTTATGCCTCAAAATAGTTTTAGTTTTACAAACACAAAAGTGTAATTGATTAATTGCCTCAAACTCTAACTTGCTTATCCTTCTAACTTTTCAACTTAATGTCGTAGAGCTTAGTTTTTTCCAAACTATGAATCGTGCTTCATAGTGTTTAATATCATATGATTACATCATTAGGTTTCAAAGTTATCAGTATTAGAATTTGAGGCAAGTAATCAGTGCATTTCTATATTTTCTTGATGTATAGATACTTTAAACTCAATTTTAAAGGATTTGAGTCTTTGCCAAAAAACTTTTATGTTTATAATATATAGGATGCCCGAACAGAATTTCTCAATCAAGTTCTTCCCCGGCACGAATTGTAAATAATCGGCTTTCAAGCGGAGGTGAGGCAACTTATTTTTGATTACTGAAAAATAAAATTTTGGTTTGTCTTAAATTTCTCATTTAGGTTCCAATAAGCTATCTCAGATATCAAATATGAGCAAAAATCTGTACATTAATAAATTGAAACAACGCTAAAATTATCTGTCGCCGACGAAATATGATTCTCATATTTTGTTTCTATACCTTCGGTATGATTAAAATATGGTTTTGTTTCATTTTGCCGTTTTGTAATTAAGATTACATATTTTAACGTTTCTGAAAAGAAAAACATTAGTTGGCAATAAAAACGTATCAGTTTTACTTTTTGAATTAACAAAGATTTTATTCATCTCTTGACAAATTAAACATAAACATGTAAACAACGGTTTAAAAACTTCAGTTTGTGTTGATTAAAAAGTTTTAAAGTCACATTCTTCGTGGGTTTCATTTTTATAGAAATAGTAAAGCTTAAAATATACCAAAAACCAAGGTTATAATGCAAGAAAAGTTATATATGAGGTGTACGCATCTTTTGCACTGCAGTGTACTATCTCTGGGCGGTAATAAAAACACGTGTGTTGAAGCCTGACATCGGATCTATCTTTCACATAAAAAATCAATTAAATATTCTGGTCATAAGAAAATATATTATGTGAACTATGAAAATTATCAAAATAAAATGCTTTTAACCTCCTCGGATACTAAACGAATACTGATGCATTTATTTTTGTTTACAAATTCCGCCCGGAGAACTGGTTTCAATATGTGCGCAGAGTATACGCAACTGCAATTAACTTTCCTTGCATTATAACCTTGCCAAAAACTATTTTGTTATCCTTGAGAACGAAATGTAGTATCCAAGAGCTGTCTAGGAACTCCTAATATAGTAGGTTTAAACTACCCATTGTTGAATGTTTATGGAACTATACAGTACATAGGGTTCTATACAGTACATACAGGGTTATTCACAAAAGATGAAACGTTAGAGACGAGGGAACAAATTCTGTTAATTTCTAAAGAATCTGAGTTTTGCCACAAACTCAAATTTTCAAATTACAATATCTTCACAACGTGAAAGTTTAAACCTTAGAAAGGAATTGAGATTTTGTCACAAACTCTGGGTTTCTTATCCCTAAATCTTTGCATTTGAATGTCGGAGACCTTAGATATTTCAAACTATGAATCATTTTAGATCAAATAATGATAGTTTAAAATAAAAAAGGTTTACACCATTAGGTTGAAAAGATATGGCGATTGTAAAATCATAATTTGTAGCAAAAACTCAGTTCCTTTCAAACTTAGACTTGATCTAACAGAGTTCATAGTTTGAAATATCAAAGGTCTACACCATCTGGTTTCAAAGATAAAGAGACTGAAATATTAAAGTTTGTGGTTTTCGGCAGCTGTTCACTTAATTTGGAATCTTTGCAAGTTGTAAACAATGACAAGACCTTTGTACATGATAGAGCTTAGCTTCAAACACTGATTTCTACGTTTAGGTGTCCATGGTGTAGAGAGGATAAAGCCGCCAATTAAAGATCCGACAGTTTTGCCGTTAATACATGTCGCTTCTTAAGTAGGAAAGATTTACAATATATGTAATGTCGTCTTTATTCGTTTATTGAGACAAACTTAAAAATCAGTAGTTTACATAAAAAGATTAATATGTGCGTACAGGTGTCTCTGCAATTAGTTTACAACGACAACAAGAACCGGTTCAGTCTGATCCTTGCTTCCCTTCTCCGTGTGGTACTGGAGCTCAGTGCAGATCTACAGGAAATAGAGCGGTAGGACTGAATTCTTTAATCCCAGAGTTATAGGTAACAATTGTCTTTTACATGATGGTTTTGTAAACATAATTTTAATATACCCTTCATGCAGGAGAAATTACACTTACAGTTCTTTTATGTGTTTAAGATTAAAGAGATGGATCCACATTAAAAAATGAATCCATTTCTAGAAATGTTACTAGTCATCTAATTAGAGCTCCACCCCTCATATTAATGAGATAAACCTCTACAAGCAATATTAAATTAATACCACTTGAAATTTTCTACCACGCTAAACAAATTGTGTTTAAAAATAATTTATTCAAAAAACGTCACTTTGGTATTTGTAGAAAAAGTACAGATTATTTTTAGCTAAACCTTTTTAAAGTAAATTTTTTATAATTCTGAAAATAGATTTTTTTGATATTTTAAATATTTTGTTTATGGATGATTGGCAGATTGATCAGAACAGAACGTAAATATGGCCTTTTACACTCAATCATTGAATAACAACACATTTATTTTTGATATTTGACATGAAGGATGAATTGTGTTCTGTTTCTAGGTGTGTTCCTGTCCTGCTGGTTATGAAGGAGATCCTTATACAGGATGCATTGCTGATCCCTGTGCTCAATCCCCCTGTGGAATCAATGCTGAGTGCTCTAAGAACGGTAGGAATAAACCTAGACCTGAATGGGGAAGAATTTGAAATAAGGGTAGGGTTAGGAGTAGGTGTGGGAGTAGGAATGGAGTAGAGGTAAGGTTGGGAAAAGGGTGAGGGTTGGGAGTAGGAGTATGGTTGGGAGTATGAGTAGGGTTAGGAGTAGGAGAAGGGTTGGAAGTAAGAGTAGGGGTTGAAGTAGGAGTAGGGTAGGGTTGGGAGTATGAGAAGGGTTGGGAGTATGAGTATGGTTGAGAGTATGAGTAGGGTTAAGAGCATGAATAGAGTTGGAAGGAGAAGGGTAGGGTTGAAAGTTAGTGTGAGTAGGGTTGGGAGTATGAGTAGGGTTGAGAGCGTGAATAGAGTTGGAAGGAGAGGTAGGGTTGGAAGTTAATATGAGTAGGGTTGGAAGTATGAGTAGGGTTGGAAGTAGAGTAGGGTAGGGTTGGAACTGGAAGTTAATATGAGTAGGGTTGGGAGTATGAGTAGGGTTGGAAGTAGGAGTAGGGTTGAGAGTACGAATAGTTCCATCGTAGTAATATGATGAATTTGCTAGGTTCAGGTTGAATAAAGGACAAGATATGCTAGGTTCAGGTTAAATATAGGACAAGATATGCTAGGTTCAGGTTAAATATAGGACAAGATAAGTGAAAGGTTTATGTCGAATACAGAAAAGTATAAACAAATTTGCCTGGCATGTTTAAGCACGAACTTGAATGCATGAAATTGGGATGTTTAGGAGTACCCGGTGGTATTCCTAGCTCTCCTGCAACCTTGAATGCTGTCATCACCGAGGCAAGAAGTAAGCAAGAATAATTTTAAACTTATCTGTACATTGTACACATTGTACACTTGTACAGTGTATAGTGTATACTGTACAGAATATGGTGTAAAGTGTACAGTGTATAGTGTATACTGTACAGTGTATAGTGTATACTGTACAGTGTATAGTGTATACTGTACAGAATATGGTGTAAAGTGTATAGTGTATACTGTACAGTGTATAGTGTATACTGTACAGTGTAAAGTGTATACTGTACAGGGTATAGTGTATACTGTACAGAATATAGTGTAAATTGTATACTGTACAGTGTATAGTGTATACTGTACAGTGTATATTGTATACTGTACAGTGTATAGTGTATACTGTACAGAATATAGTGTATAGTGTATACTGTACAGTGTATAGTGTAAAGTGTATAGTGTATACTGTACAGGGTATAGTGTATACTGTACAGAATATAGTGTAAAGTGTATACTGTACAGTGTATATTGTATACTGTACAGTGTATATTGTATACTGTACAGTGTATAGTGTATACTGTACAGGGTATAGTGTATACTGTACAGAATATAGTGTAAAGTGTATACTGTACAGTGTATAGTGTATACTGTACAGTGTATAGTGTATACTGTACAGTGTATAGTGTATACTGTACAGAATATAGTGTATAGTGTATACTGTACAGTGTATAGTGTAAAGTGTACAGGAAAATTCCGTTGAAATAAATCAAATGTTGTCGCCAAAGTATAAAACGTACAGAAATTAAGAAGGGTTCCGATTAGATAAAAAAAAACTTGACCTTTTAAAGAAAGGAATTAAGAACTCTTTTCAAACTCGACTTTTTTATGTTTGCAACCTGATGATGTAAACCTTTTATATTTAAAGTGCTGACTCTTCATACTTCTATGAAGGTTTTTATTTTTTTGCTAAAATGGCATTTTTACGAATTGCATTAAAAATTAAAATATAACGGCACAAAACTACTTTTTTTCCATCACCAGACTAAATATTTAACAATAAAATCTGATAGAATAACAAATATACTAAAATACAAAAAAATCTAAAATATTCCGGATTTATCTGGTTAACTAGAGATGTGTATGTAAAATTATATTTAGAAATCAAGCTTGAATTCTAGCATGCGATAAAACTAAATCTGAGGATCTCCAGGCTTTTTCTTCTTATTATTCTCCTTCTCTTTCTTCTACTTCTACAGAACCTTCTTTCTTTATTTCTTTTCTTTCTTATTTTATATTTTTATATTTTTTAATTTGAAGCATGGGAAAATCTATAAAAAAATAATTTTACATTTTATTTTTTTATTTTTATGTTTCCTGAATTTATTAAACCCTTTTTAATTTCAGAATTTGTAAAATTTAGTCAAATATGATTAAATTATAATTTCAAACATGAATTTTATGTATATATCATTTGTGGAATGCTACAACAACGCCATTTGCAAAGTTTACATTAGACCCGGAGAAACCCAATATATCAGCTTAAAACTATTTGTAAAGATTAGTTCATTCCCGGAGAAGGATCAAAATGAAGATATATTTATATTAGTACTGTTACAGTACAGTACAGCACAAAGCTACCTGTAGGTTCGGTATATACTGAAGAACCAAGATATGAAGTTTATATCATGTTGAACCTATTGTTTAGGTAACCGAGCTATCTGCAGATGTCCACCTGGATATACTGGGGATCCATTTGTTAGATGTGAGGCTGATCCCTGTTCTCAGAATCCCTGTGGAGCAAACGCTGATTGTCAAGCCCAAGGAAACAGAGCAGTGTGTAGATGCAGAGAAGGTTATGAGGTGAGTGCAGAGGAGTTTGTAGATGCAGAGAAGGATATGAGGATAGTGCAGAGTAGTTTGTAGATGCAGAGAAGGATATAAGGTTAGTGCAGAGTAGTTTGTAGATGCAGAGAAGGATATGAGGATAGTGCAGAGTAGTTTGTAGATGCAGAGAAGGATATGAGGTGAGTGCAGAGTAGTTTGTAGATACAGAGAAGGATATGAATGATGTGAGTGCAGAGTAGTTTGTAGATACAGAGAAGGATATAAGATGAGTGCAGAGTAGTTTGTAGATACAGAGAAGGATATAATGTGAGTGCAGAACAGTTTGTAGATACAGAGAAGGATATTAGATGAGTGCAGAGTAGTTTGTAGATACAGAGAAGGATATAATGTGAGTATAGAGTAGTTTGTAGATACAGAGAAGGATATAATGTGAGTGCAGAGAAGTTTGTAGATACAGAGAAGGATATAATGTGAGTGCAGAGTAGTTTGTAGATGGAGAGAATTTGTAGATGAAGGAAAATATAAGATACTAGCTGGAAAAAATTTTGAAAAAAAAATAATTTTTTAATTTTTTAAAAAATATTTCAGCCTAATCGGTCCAGCAGTTTGGCCGGCAATACGCAACATATATATATATATAGATGAATCCAATGTAAAGAAATGAGTTTATAATATTATCAGGGCTTGCTATTGAAAAATTGGAATGTAAATTTGAGAAAAAAGTTGCAACAATTTTTATTTAATGAAGATTTAAAATCTCTTAAAACAAAACAAGACAATCCTCAATACAGGTTTCATGTTAGACCAATCTTTACTCCGTATAGCACTAGATCCATAGAATCCTTTGTTAAACCCTCTGGAATAGTTTTACTCCTGGAGCATCTGCACAAACTTCCTGTAGTCGATATACTTATCCTGCTCAGGGGTAGATGGTACAGAAGGAGAGTGAACTCGTCTTAATCATTATCATTCTCATTTCTTAGCCATCATGATTAGATTAATATTTTATATTAGGTTATTTCTTTAATTATGAGTAGGACAAATGACGTTTTCCCCAATCTGAAGGACAAATGATGAGTAGGATATATAAGGTGTAGGACAAACAATTTTCAGGACAATTGATGGTAGGACAAATGAGTGTAGGACAATGATTGTAGGACGTAGCGCCATCAAAGGCATATAATCTCAGAAAAATAGTTTTTTTTAAATTTGTTATTTTTACAATTTAAATGAGCTGAGAATATTTCCTGTATTCGTCCAACATCTCATCTAACTCTGCAACATCCTCTCCCAGCTTGCATTTCATTATTCTCCTGAAATGAGCTTCGGAGATCCGTCCCAACCCTCCCTTGTCAAATATTTCGAAAGCATCGAGAAGAGACTCCGGAGAGGGTTCGTCATTCCTCTGGTTCGCCATCATGTTGAGGTACTCCGTGAAGGAGACGCTGCACTCCGTCTGGTCCACCGAGATGGACTGAGCAAATTTTCTGGCTTTTTCCTCGGAACCTGACAGGAAATAATACTTTAATATTGGTCTTTTTATAATTTTAATACTTTCTTTCCAAACAAATATAATATTAATGTTAGTCTTATTCCTGAGAATTACTTAAGGTTATTGTAAAAAAGAAATTATGATTGATCTTATTTCATTACAATGTTTGTGTAAAGAGAATAGGATGTAAATCGTGATTAACGGACCTAGTCCTAAACAATGCCTGCACACCATTCACTTGACTTCTGTTAGATTGAAACATAGAATATAGAATAACCTGTTCTTCCAAGAACTCCAGTCAATCTCTCAAACTCTTTAAATGTAAGAACTCCATCTCTGTCTATATCAAACATCTTAAACAGTTCCTGAACATTTGTTTTGTTTCTGGAAAACGACATGAACAGGAAAACGACATGAACAGGAAATGTTCCTTAAAATTTGTTATTTTTGTAAAACGATATAAACAGGAACAATTCCTGAAAAAAATTTTTGTTTCTGTTAAACTACATGAACAGGAACAGTTCCTGAACATTTGTTTTGTTTCTGTATAAGAACATGAACAGGAACAGTTCCTTAACATTTGTTTTTTTTCGTAAAAGGATATGAACAGGAACAGTTCATGATCATTTGTTTTTTTTCTTTAAAACGACAGAACAGGAACAGTTCATGAAAATTTGTTTTGTTTCGTAAAAAGACATGAACAGGAAAAGTTCCTGAAAATTTGTTTGTTGCTGTAAAAGAACATAAACATGAGTAATTCCTGAAAATTTGTTTTGTTTCGTAAAAAGACATGAACAAGTTACAAAACAAACAATTCTGACCCATTGCAGGGTATGAAAAAAAGCTGTGAATCTGATTAAATGTAAAATTTAAAAGTGAAAGTCCGAAAAACTTCACAAAAAGTTAAAAATGTTGAATATTAACAATTCTGAAATTTCTAAATGAGATCCTGAAACCTTTCTTGATTAGGAAATCATGAATTTAAAATAGTTTCTGAAAAATGGTCAATAGATTTGCAAAAGAAACTGATTACTCTCCTCAAACTCTAACTTAGTATCCTTATATTTTTGCAGACTGATGAAGTGGACCATCAATTCTAGTAATATTATACTATTTCTGTTTTTCACATTTACGTTGCAAAGATATTGGGAGTAATCAGTTTCTATTTAATCACCTTCATTTCCTCGAACTGTAGATCATCTATCCCAAGTTTATCCAGGTCTACCCGAACCAGATATTCTACTATCTCCTGTACAACCCGGATACATTGTCAAATATCATATCGTGTAATTTTCCAATTATACGATATGCTTAGGTTAAAAAACCAAGAAGCTTAAAAGTGATAAAAAAACTTTGCTAATCGAAGGTTTTGTTTACCATATTCTAAAATGGCTATGCGGGGGGGAGAGAAAAAAAATACTATTATGAGCAAAGGGTTTTTTTAGATATAATACCGGGGTTTATGGGTTATAAAACCATAATCTTAAAAAGTGATATTTTTCCAAGAGACTGATTTTTGTGTGATATTTAAATTAATATAATAGGATCAATTACGAGTATTTTTTATTTATTACATTATTACAAATGCCAAAAGACAATTCTTTAAGAAAAAGATTTATTCAATGAAAAATATTCAATGGATGAGACAATGGATTTCCTTTTTCTTCTTAGTTGAACGTTTCACGTGGGGCTCCTCATCCTTTAAAAAAGAAAAAAATTCTGCATAGGAATTTAGTCTTTGCAACAGACTCTTATCTGATTACCATCCAAATGTCGTAGACCTAAGATATTTCAAGCTATGCATTCTGTTAAATCAAACAAGTTTGAAATGTAAAAGGTTTAACTCGTCTGGTTGCAAAAATTTAGCGATTAGAAAATTTCAGATTGTGACAAGTTTTTAACGGCAATCAATAAATACCACGATCTGTTAGCTTATAGTTAGATAGTTATAAAATGTATATATACCGACCAAATATCAAGTAAGATAAGATAAGATAAGATAACGTTTATTGCTAAAATACATGTATCTGTATACAGAACGAGTTTACAATTACAAATTGATGATTATATTAACAGTACAAGTATAAAGCAATGAAGTATATAGAATATAGAATATTAAAACGATCTGTTAGTTCTGTATAGTTCGGGGTTTGCGTGAAATATAATCTCGTTATCTTGTAAACGCTGAAAAATGTCGGATTTTAGAATCTATGATTACAAAATAAGGATATCCTTAGGTCTGCCATGATGAATATTTTCTCCTATCAATCCTCCGTCAGTTTCTTTTTCTTTCGACATCCTCAACCTAAAGGACCTGAGCAGATAAAAGGGATCGTTCACTTCTTAAATATTACGGTCGTGGGAACTGTAGATCCAGAATATAACTAGTAAAAGTTGCATCAGTTTTCAAAACTAGGTTGACTTTTATGCTTCGCAACTCATTAACTCATTAACTCACCTATACTTTTTATAGCCCAAGATATGTACATTTTAAATCTATAAACTAATAGTTTTTTATTTTCGTTTTTAAGGAGCAATGAAAAAATAAAATTCCAAACTTTTTTTGCGTGAAGGCTTGCAAACTTTAGATCGCTGGGATGAAAGGTCGGAACCATTTTGTGTTAAAAAATCGAGTCAGACGGAGAAATCTTTAGGTTTGTCCAACAACAAAATTATTAGAAACTTCTTAGTTTTTCTGGGAAAAAATAAAATTAAAAAACAGGAGCTTTTACCTTTATTGATTCACATTTTTTCTTGATTAATCTGGAGATAATTTCAATTCTCCGGAGTGAAAGAAAAATCGGATCTGGACAGTTTTTGGTTTGTTGATTCGGTTCCGAGTTGATACGAAGGTTTTAGTTCTCCGACACCCAGCTAGGAGTTGGAGAACTCAGTTTATCTAGATAGGTTTCAGTTTGGACTTGGACATCTAGCTTAATCTAGGTTCTGTTCTTCGACTTCGTCATTTTCCTGGAAATGTTTAAGTTCTCCGGGTTGGTTCGGAGCTAGAGAACTAGGTTTCAGTTCTCCAACTCTCTGAAACTGTCTAAACCAGGACGAATCGAACATTTATCGAGAAAAACAGGGATATATAAAACCTTCCAAAAGTTAATACTTTAGTGACATAACGTCTCCAAATCTTTGAACATGACAAAGGAAACTTAAAAATTTCTAAATATTATTTGTGAAAATAGTTCATCCCGGAATATCTGTTCAATTCTTAAATCACGCTAGGATAGAATATTGAAGTAGCTTTTCTACAGATAGATGGATAGAGAGATAGATAAGTGGCTTTTTTTCTAATAGATAAATAGAATATTAAGAAACCAACATTTTGGAAATCCATGTTTATTGAAACACTCTGCAGTACAAAAATGTACAGCGTACATAAAGATGCCGGAACGGTAAGGACTGATTAAACATCTCGAAATACTGAATACAATAAAGACTAACATAAACCAACTAAGCTGATGAATATATTGGCTCCGAACCTGGATATCTGGGTATAAATGAAGCTAGAGTTTACGGAAGTATAGATGGTGAACCTGGATAAACCAGGAAAGGAGTGCCGGGAGTAGATAGGAATCTTAAAGACCTTATATATTGAGAGATATTTATGAGGAAAACTGATTATTATATATTTACAAATACTGCCGTTGGCNAAACAAATCTAGCACCCCCCTCACTTAAATCCTGTGACTCCAAATATGTCACACGTAATAATTTAAATCAAGAACTAAATCAAAAATAACAAAGAAGAAGTGTAGTATATGGTAAGAATGCAGTAACCAAGACATTCAGACAAAGAATATAAAGATCTTTAAGCATTTAGTGTTCAGTGTACGTTTACCGCTACACTCGCACGGCTCCAATCCGAACCGGTATCGTTCGGTTGCAGTTGTGCTATATATATATATATATATGCAGTCTAGTCTAGACATGACAATTTAAAAACTACCAATTATGATATTGCAGAAGCATTATCCAATATCCATGGTTAAAGAAACAGGAAAAGTACCCTTGAATACCCTTGAAATACTTTGAAGACCGCGTGGTTACAACAGTTCGGTCTTTGTCCCATCAAGATGTGAATTTTTAACCCAATTTGAGCTTTTTTCGTCTTTTCAATTCTATACTTTATATTGTTGAATTATATGTATATGTAGACCTAAACGAGATTTAATTTAAATAGAAGAAATCGAATACATCCCGTCCTACAAATATAAAAATATTTTTTTTTTTTTTCGTAGCTGATAATGATCTATATATTAAAACAAGACATTCATATATGTGTTGCGTAAAGCCGGCCAAACGGCTGGACCGATTGGGCTGAATTTTTGTGTGAACACTCGTGGGTGACCGGGGGTGTTATAGGCAAAATAAATTCGAAAATTATTTTTTGCAAAAAAAATTGTTTTCAAATTTTTTTCTTCAAATTTTTTTTTCACGGGCAACGCTGGTTCCTTCAGCTTGTTACAAATATATGAATATGATTTTTAGGGAGATCCATTCGTGAGCTGTGTTTTAAATCCTTGCGCCCAATCTCCTTGTGGGATTAACGCTGATTGCAGCGCCAATGGTAATAATTGTATTAAGCATTTTATTTTATTTTTATTTTAAGACAAAATGTAAACAAAAAGACGCAATATTTAACAAATGTCTGCATATAATATTGAAAAAATAGATAAATATCGTCTTTATTACAAATTCTATAAAATATGAAAAACGTCAGAAATTATAGAGTGGTCAACGACGAAGAAAAAATATGCATACTGTTGCTTGTAGAATTTATTGAAAAAAGAAATGCATTATTTTTGTGATAAATGTTAAACTCTTACAAACAGAATAACATAAAATCCTAATACATAAAATTATATTGACAGTCCCTTTATGGGACTGTAAGCGTAATGTTTATATTTCGGATACTGATTGATTGTGATTTCTCTAAAGTGAATCCCAGATATATGAATACATAGCAAGATTTTTTATAATGTCGTATTACATATTTAAGATCAAATGCCACGGAAAACTGAATGCAATTGATATATTAATATTAAACTCATTTCTCCGCGGCATTTAATCTTAAATATGTTATACAAGACATTATCAAAAACTCTTGCTATGTATTCAAATATCTGGGATTCATTGTACAAAAGTGATTTTCGCATTTTTCTTGCATTGAAACGTAAAGGAAATATCATAATTTGACACTTTTAAGCATAGAAAAACGAGTTCCATTTTATGTATAGCTTGTTTTCTCTCCGATATACCTCCATTACTCCAGGAGCACGAGCCCTATGCAGATGTAGATCTGGATACGAGGGAGACCCATTCAGCAGGTTAGACACATCTGAAAAGTATTAAATGGTATATCGATCGATAGGCTACGTCAGTGCTAATCAAAAAGGCCCGGAATAAATTTACAATTAATCAGACGACATTAAAATCTAAACATGATTAATGGAACGATAATTTAAAAACAGCCAGCTAGTTCTGCGATTTCCAAAATGTGGTCTGCCTTTTTTGAGCATTTACAATTGCCCGAGAAAGATATCTAAAGTTAATTAATTCCGGGTCTGTCTGATTTGGACTGTAGTTAATTTTTATAAACCTAAAACAATTTCATTTTTAATAAACGCTTCATTATTATATGTCCCTGACTGTTGTTTGAAAATAACTAAAAACTGTACAGTGTACAGTTTACACTGCACAATGGTACAGAAGTACTTGTACTAACTTGAATCATGTTTATGGAACGAAGGTCTAAAAGTTGTCTTACGCTAGGTACTACTCTAGGTACTATTCTTGGTACTACTCTAGGTACTACTCTAGGTACTAGGGAACAAACAATAATCCAGACTCACTCATGGTAGAGCACAAACATGAAATGTTTAGACCAAAATGCAACGAATAAAATAAAATAAAAATTTGATACGAAAACGACGATCTTTCAGTTAATTATTATGAACTACTGTAGTAAACCTAAAATGAGGCTAAAATGTTAAGCTTCAACTAAAAAATGCTTATTCTAAACAATTTGATGAATGTTATTGAAAGTTTATTTTATTTATTTTTATGTTTTTAATTTTCCATATAACTGGAGTTGTTTTTCTAACTTGAAACCGTCCCTGATCTAAAATGTTTGATTTCTTCAAGGTGTGAAGTAAACCCCTGTCAGCAGAGTCCTTGTGGAGTTAACGCGGATTGTTCTGCAACAGGTTAGTACTGTACAGTGAGTAAACTGTGTACAGGTTATTAAACTGTACAGTAAATAAACTGTGTAAAGGTCAGTAATGTACAGTGAATAAACTGTGTACAGGTTATTAAACTGTACAGTGAATAAACTGTACAGTGAATAAACTGTGTACAGGTTAGTAAACTGTACAGTGAATAAACTGTGTACAGGTTAGTAAACTGTAAAGTGAATAAACTGTGTACAGGTTATTACTGTTTCAGTGAATAAACTGTGTAAAGGTTAGTAAACTGTACAGTAAACTGTGTACAGTTAGTACTTTACAGTGTACTGTGTAAAGATTAGTACTGTATAGTGACTGTACCGCGTACAGGTCAGTAAACTGATCAATGCACTGTTTACAGGTTAGGACTGTACAGTGTACTGTGAATAGGTTAGTACTTTACAATGAAATGTTTACAGGTTAGTACTGTACAGTGACCGTACTGTGTACAGGTGGTAAACTATACAGTGCACTGTTTACAGGTTAGTACTGTACAGTGTTCTGTGTACAGGTTAGTACTGTACAGTGAATTGTGTACAGGTTTGTACTGTAAAGTGTACTGTGTACACTGTACAGGTTAAAGTAAACTGTATAACTGTATACTGTGTACAGGTTAGTAAAATGTACTGTGTCCAAATGGATAAGCCAAATATCCTGTAATAAATTCAAATATCAAATCAAATCAAATCAAATAATTTATTAGGCCTCAAGTTTACATGCATTTATTAATTAAGTAACTGACAAATTATATATATATATTGTGGCCGGGGAGCTACAAGATAGCTAAAGCTGTTTACACACGAGCTCCCCTGGTTCAGCATAATAAATTGACCCCTGTCGTATGTTAGTCTTGTTAGGGAGACGTACTGTACCATAGAATCGGGTCAGTACATGCTGTTATCTGGCAGGCCGGTACAAACTGGGCAGGTCCTGTTCGAATTCAAATTTACTACGGGGATAGAGTGTGTCTCTCTTAATTTAACTAGTAATCCCTGACTTGTTGTAAATTTTCAAAGCCCAGTAATATTCATCATATAGTAAACGTTTTAATATTAATAAGGTGGGGATGTAAATACCCAAAGAAGCGAAAGCCAATCTCCACCCAAATGCTATTATATATACATATAGTAAACAATATAAAAATAGTTGCAGATTTTTGCCTGTAACATTATAACTTGTTTGTGTATTTTTAGCAATAAACTATATCTTTTCTTATCTTACTCCAGGTCTGTAAATACTCCAGGTAGTATATCTGTAATTTTTACAGGTAGTAGATCTGTAATTATTACAGGTAGTAGATCTGTAATTATTACAGGTGTAGATCTGTAATTATTACAGGTTTAGATCTGTAATTATTACAGGTGTTATAGATCTGTAATTACTCCAGGTAGTAGATCTGTAATTATTACATTGTGTAGATCTGTAATTATTACAGGTAGTAGATCTGTAATTATTACAGGTGTAGATCTGTAATTATTACAGGTTTAGATCTGTAACTATTACAGGTGTTATAGATCTGTAATTACTCCAGGTAGTAGATCTGTAATTATTACAGGTGTAGATCTGTAATTACTCCAGGTAGTAGATCTGTAATTACTCCAGGTACTAGATCTGTTATTACTCCAGGTAGTAGAGCTGTCTGTAGATGTAGGGACGGATATACTGGAGATCCATTCCAAGAGTGTAGACTTGAACCCTGCTCCACCTCTCCCTGTGGAACCAATGCAGACTGCTCAGCTAACGGCAGGTTGGGAAACAAGTTCACATCAGACTTAAAAACTTTTTGTTCTCAAGAACCCATATGCATCGAAAGGATTGATAAGACAAATGTTATTTTTATATTTATATATTTTATATAAACTTTAAAACATAGGCAAAGGAATTGAGTCTTTGCAACAAACTCTGAATTTATAATCCCTATATCTTTGGAACCCAATTTCGTACATCTTTGATATTTCAAACTTATATTATTAGATCGTAGTTTGAAATATCTAAGGTCTACGACATTGGAATCCAAAGATATAATGTTTAGAAAAGCAGAGTTTGTGGTAAAGACTCAATTTCTTTGTGTTTAGCTATTTCATTGATTTCTATGAATTTAATTATTATTCAGAGAAACAACATTTTTTTAAATGCTTCATTGATCCACTTTCACGTTTTTTATTGGCACATTTCCATATATTTGCATTACTAGCAAGACATTAAAAAATACTTTTCTTTGTAAAAATTAAATGTTTGAATAAAATTTAATTTTTGATATTTCAGGTCTGCTATCTGCAAGTGTAGATCTGGATATACCGGAGATCCGTATACAAACTGTGTGTTCGATCCTTGCTCCGGGTCCCCTTGTGGACAGAGAGCAATCTGTGAGAATAATGGTAGAGCTGCGATCTGTAAGTGTCCTCCACTTAATATTGGAGATCCTTATGTTTCCTGCAGGTATCTAATTAATTATGGAATATTTTTATTTGGTTTGTACAGTGCACAGTGCACAGGGTGGACCACTAAACATTAAGACGGCCAAGGAATATGTATATTGAGAACACGCCCACTTTACTTGACACAACTGCTTACAGGGAGTGCTGATGTAAGTTTAAGTAACCCTTCAAGGAATATGTATATTGAGAACACGCCCACTTGACACAACTGCTTACAGGGAGTGCTGATGTAAGTTTAAGTAACCCTTCAAGGAATATGTATATTGAGAACACGCCCACTTTACCTGACACAACTGCTTAAGGGAGTGCTGATGTAAGTTTAAGTAACCCTTCAAGCCACGGCCCGGGTCGTCGATGGAAAGTGAATTGTTTAGTTAATGAGAAACAAAACGGGAATTAAACAACCAATTTTAAAATGTTAAATTTGTTTCATCAAAATTTTCTGGTTTTAGACCTGATCCGTGTAGCGGAGATGCCTGTGGTCCTAATGCCGAGTGTTCCCGGAGCGGAGAGAGAGCAGTTTGTGATTGTAGACGAGGATATCTAGGTAGTCCCTACAGTAGATCAGGTTGCAGAGCTAATCCCTGTGCTCAGGGTATATGTGGAGCTGGGGCTGAATGTAAGGATGTTGGTGGACGACCTGTGTGTGAATGTTTACCTGGACATCAGGTTCGTAATCTCAGTTTTAATTTTAAAGGGAGTGTTCGTGAAAAATATAAAATTTATATAAATCGATTTTCTTGAACAGATAATAGTCCAGTATTTGCAATATTTAATTTAAAACGTAAATATTACAATTAAAATTTAATGCAATGTAAATTTTCGTAATAAGAACATTTAATTCGTACTGAATTACATAGAATCTTTTTCACTGGAAATATACAAATATTCTTTTTTACAAAAAGATTATTTTTCCTTCCGTATCTTTAAGGAAATCAATGACGATTTTTATGACGTTTCTTGANATTGTTGTTTGAGGTCTCATTTTTAGTTCAAATATCCTAGATTTATGAATTGTTGTTTGAGGTCTCATTTTTAGTTCAAATATCCTAGATTTATGAATTGTTGTTTGCATAGAAGAGATAAAAACTTTGGGAAAAAGTCAAACTTATTTTACTGCAGGGGAACCCGTATACTGGCTGTATCCAGGGAGAATGTGATGAAAATTCAGATTGTGGACCTCAGAGAGCTTGCAAAGATTACAAGGAAAACAAATATAAAAATACCTTTTTTATCATGCTATTAATTGTATGAGATGTCTGAAACCATGAAATCATTGCTAGATGCGATTTCTTTGAAATTATATGCGACAACAACTTCCACGCTCTACCTTATCATACCATATATGACTCCGCTATTTTATTTGATAACCTACCCTCAACTAAGCTTCCGGTCTGTACTGCAATGATTTGTAGTACTCTGACCGAAGAAATAATATGGTTAAGTGAAGAGTGAACCGTTTACATATTTGGTTTGGTTAGTGTGTGGACCCGTGTGCTATATCCTGCGGAAGCGGGGCTGATTGTAGTGTACAGAACCACGTGGCAATCTGTAGATGTCCCCGGGGACACACAGGAGATCCCTTCAGAAGCTGTAGAAAATTCTCTAGAGAGGAGATCTGTGCACCTTGTGGAATCAACACTGACTGTGAGGTACTATGGTATTAAAGGGACAGAAGATGTAATTTTAAGGGACGTCTAGGGGCGTATACATGAATGTGCCCGGGGGTCATGATGGCCCAGCGCCTACTGGTGCCTGAAAACCCTCTGGAAACTATAGATTTCACTGATCCAGGGGGAGGGGCGCCATAGCCCCCCCCCCTCATTGTATACGCCTCTGACAATGAAGCACTGTTTTTGTAAGGTTAACAGAAAAAGTTTAAGTTTAGCCAAGACCAGTGAGTTTTATCTTTGTATTTTGTAAACTATTAAGAGCAATTCAAAAAAACAACCTTCTCAATTTATTTTTGATAATGAAATGAATTTTATAAGAAATCAATCTTTTATTTTTATCTTTTGTACTTTATATTTTTAAATATTTGTACAAAAAAAGGCTGTACTTTGATTCAAATCCTAATGTCAAAAGTAAACTGATTTACTCTAAAAGTATTTTCCTGAATATTCTCCAGGTAGGGCAGGATGACCGTCCTATCTGCAGGTGCAAGGAAACCTATGTTGGGAACCCACTATCAGGGTGCAAGCATGAATGTGATACGGATGGAGAGTGCGGACAGACCCAGTCATGTGATAGGAGAACATACAGGTATTATTATTTACTAGACCCAGTCCTGTGATAGGAGAACATACAGGTATTATTATTTACTAAGAAATATCAACAACTATTTTAACATTTATCGTATCGTACCTACAATAAACTCTTATATCATATAAACTAAATACAAGCAGAACTACCCGACTTTGCCCGTGCCCATTGGGCCTAAATTCTTGTAGTTGTTCATACAGTCGTATATCAATACAATAAAGACGACTTTAGATTTCAATTTTTTGGTCTCTACCAAAGCGGTCAGTTACCAGCTTCTCTTTGATTACTTATAAACTGTAATTTGAAAAATAGCTTGTTAGAAATCAAAACTTAAACCATAAAGTCGTCTTCGTTTTGTTGATGTAAAAACTGACCAATTTTATTCAAAAATTGTCCAAACTTGAAAAAAAAACTAAAAAGTCACTCACTGTTCGTCTGTATGTTTTGGTTTATAGTATTGCTAAAATGTTAATCAATGATAATTATCAAACAATGAACCATGGTTTTCTGACTTATTTATTATTAAAGATGTGTTTCTGCATGTGAGAGCGGAGTATGTGGAGAGAATGCTAACTGCAATGCGATCAATCACAGGTCGGAACTTTCATCATACAATATGTTCTAATAAACATGGGAATTCAGTGACGAATTCGATATCGTCTTTGTTATGAATTAGCATTGTAATACCTAATTTCAAAAGCCATGCTATTATTATGTCTGCTAGAGTTTAATTAATGAAAAAGGTAAATGGCTGTAAAGATGTGTCAAAAATGTATCCACAAGATGAACAGTGAAGACGGACAAGTTTACACTGTTTGTATACTGCAATTTTCTTGTTTTACTAAGCTTACAACCGTATGCAGTCAAAACATAAACAAATTAAATGTGAACATACCAGACGAAATCTTACAGATTACAGCTTTCTCAGTAGGTATCACTATACTAAATCAAAGAATTATTTGAAAAGACGATATCGAATTTGTCACTGAATTCACATGTTTATTGGGACACCCTGTACAATGTGTTCCAATAAACAGGACAGTTAAGCGACGACATTAAAATCATTAAAAGTACATAAACACAATGCAGTTTACCCTTCATACACACCTTGTCCTTGTATCTAGCAGAGTTCAAAGACGACCTTTTGAATAACTGTAAGACGACCTTGTTAATTAGTATTATAATAAATATCAATGTTTAGAGCTCAGTGCTCCTGTCCCCCTGATTTCCTGGGAGATCCTTACTCCAGGTACAGAATAGAACGGGTATACAGGCTGAGATTTCAGAGACGACTGTTCAGTACGTGTACAGATTTGATTTAATCTTGTTTTCTAAGTTAATGGTTCATGTAGATCTGTAAGTCTCTTATTTTCACGTGTTTGCATTAAAATCAAGTTTATAACGAGAAAACGAATCAAACCTTCAGTTTTAACTAGTTTTATGTTGTCCTTAAAGTCTTATTCTTTGTTGATAATCTTGAATATTTCAAATGTGTTAAGAACAATCACACAGGTTGTACTCTAGGTGCTATACTGAGTGCACCCGTCACGATGAATGTGCCAGTAACAAGGCCTGTGTCCAGCTGAAGTGTGTTGACCCATGTTTTAGTCCTAATCCTAATGTTTGCGGTCAAGGAGCTACATGCGAGGCAACCAATCATAGAGCAGTCTGCTCTTGTCCCAAGGGATACACTGGTGACCCATTTGTTAGCTGTCGACAATTTGAGAAGAGAGATTTGTGTCAGCCTAGTCCCTGTGGACCTGGAGCTGAATGTAGAGCAGGGTTTGATAGATCTGGAACTGACCGGCCAGTGTGTACCTGTCCAGCTGGATACAGAGGAGATCCTTTAGTCAGTTGTAACAGAGGTATTTTTTAATTAAAAAGAACAAAATAAACAACAATTTGAGGGTTCGATTTAATCAACTTATTTTAGGAGAATGTATAAACGACAGTGAATGTTCCCTGGACAGAGCCTGCTACGACTATAACTGCCGATCTCCCTGTGACCGGGCCTGCGGGCAAAATGCTGAATGTCAGGCTAGAAACCACGGAGCTATCTGCTCCTGCCCATCCGGGTTCGTCGGAGACCCACTCACAGCCTGCAGACAGTCCAGGAGACAACAGGCAAACGTTGTCGGATTCTCCAGGTTCAGAAGGAACCTTGATCCGTACTTTCTCCTCTTCCCGGAGAATTGATTTAAGAATCTGAACCAGAAAAGAGAAGCAGAAAAAGAGGCATTACATACTTATATTAGATATGTACAATGTACAGAAAATAATGTAAATTTCTTAATATTATACTCAGTAACCTTTTTGACTAATATACAGTATAAACAAAAGGTGTATAATGTATGTATATAAAAATTAATTAGTATGAATGACATGTTTCAAATAAAAGATAAAATATTTGTTTATTTACAGCTAATTATTGATTACAAACATATTTGTACATGGTCAGATAAATCTGTTCAATATATAAAGATTAATCTAGGTCCATAGCACATCAAACATATTTAGCAAAACTTTCTTAAAGAAATTATCATAAAATAAGTAGCTGAAGTTTATCTACAATGTATTAAAATCTTTTTAAAAGTCGTGATATAAAAAATTCAATGAATAAAGCATGATACAAATAAGTAAGTAAATTTATAAATAAACCGAAGGGGACTGATCTTTTTCTAATCTTTATTTACATTATAGAGCAAAGGTCTCCTTTCTGGTTGACAGGTTCAGGTTGAATGTCTCCACCCTTGAGAACAGCTGCTACTAGAGCAGCTCCCCGTCCTGATCCGTCCTCAGACATCATGATATCGAACTTGTAATCTATCCCCATGAGCTGAGCAACTCGAGACTTCATCACATTTCTACAGGAGTTTAATGTTAATATAATCACATTTCTACATGAGTTTAATGTTAATATAACAACAAAGAAATGACAAACAAATTCTCTAACTTAAATCTGGAGAATACAAGGCGTTCAGACCACGGGGCGCCTCTTAATCTACTTTTATAGAACTAAAATTCTAAATTTCAGATTTTGCATGTTTCTTTATCTATTTTTTTCAGGATAAAATCCTCATTTTTACAGAAATCGTCTACTTTTTTATCCTGAATACCCCATGGTTTGAGCCTAAAGGTAAATTTGATTTTGCTCTAGAGCTTTCTATGATAGATAGATTAATTTATAGTGAAAATTTTAAATTTTAAATAAGAAAGGGTTACTTGACTTAAGAAATTAGCCAATTCTTACTTTTTTGTATTTTACACTTCAAATCAAATATTTATTTTGAAATTTCACGAACATTTTCGCGAAATTTTCGAAAATACAGGGTGTCCTACGAAACATGACAGTATGCAGGACGACTTGAATGTCGTCTTGATTTTTGATATAATTTGCTGCTTTTATTTTGTATACTAAACCTAAAGTGGGAATGGTATCGGAAAAGTATACTAAACCTAAAGTGGGAATGGTATCGGAAAAATATACTAAACCTAAAATGAGGATGATATCGGAAAAGTATACTAAACCTAAAGTGAGGATGATATCGGAAAAGTGAGCCGTCTACTGCTACCACCACTTCCTATAAAAATATTAAGGTTGTTAAATTCTTAAATTTTAAATAATTTTGAAGTAATTGTATGAAATATTAACTGTGTCGAATTATTATTAATGCTATTTATGACAAAGTACTGAGTATCAGGCCTGGTTAGATTAATCCATCTGTAAAACCACAGACAAGTTCAAGTATTTTATAAAGTTGTAAACTCTGTTTGTCTGTTTGTTTGTTTGAGTATTCGAGCATGGCTCCTGGCTCCTAAGTTGAGAGCGTTACTCCAATAGAGAAAACTCCAGGCATAAAGTAGTAATCTCTGTTTTGGCGTCTGTCTGCTTTTATGTTCGATCATAACTTATGAACCCCTGGACCGGTTTGCCTCAAATTTTAACTTGGGTATCTTGTTGGAACCCCGAAAATGTGGTTCGACTTTTATAGCAACAGTTTAGTTTCCAGGCAAAGGTAGGTTCCTGCAGGCTATATTACATAGATAATGTTGATACAATAAAAACTCAAATCATGTGTTGAATACTTCTTTTCTTACTATTCATATATACATAGAAATTTGTGTTTTCAGTCTAATATTTTCTAAAGGCGGCCCGGCCAGTCGGATTATACAGGCTTGCCCACAAAGGACGAGACTGTAAGGACGACTTAAAACTAAAGGTTGAATTAAGTCTTCTACTTCAAGTAGAATCTTTGAATGGGTTATTTAAAGTTTTAGAAGAAAAAAATGTTTGGAATTATGAATAAAAAGTAGAAAAAGTAGGTAACACAAATATTTTCAGTGTAGGCCAGGGGGGGGATATATCTACCATTTTCAGTGTATGCGGGGGGGGGGAATAACTTTTAAAACAATATTTTCTGTTTAGCAGTCGTTTACCGGAATTTGACAGAGAAGTTTTGAAAATAAACTAATATAATGATAATATAAATGCATTCTTTGAAAAATGTCCAATGAAATATTTTGCAAATAATCTTGCAACTGTAAATATTTTGCAAATAACTGTAAATGCATTTATGCAAGTTATAATTGATAATTCAATATTTTAAGAAATATACAATTTAGAATTTCATAAATGCAAAATGTTAAAAAACTAGGGTTTCCACCAAAAAGGGTAAATAGTTTCGCGAAAACTTCGCATTTTTCGCGAAAAATAAAAAATAGTTCGCTGAGAATTTCGTATGTTTTCGCATTTCGTTAGCTTTAATCTGTTTCGCGAAAAAATGCGAAATTTTCGCGGAAAAAAAGAAATGCCAAAATTTTCGCATATTTCGCGAAAGTTTTCGTTCGCTGGAAACCCTAGTTAAAACTTTATATTTTAAAAACATTGATATTTCAAGAGTAATTGATAGAGTTACAGTGGTAACCAGTAAACAGTGGACTGAACATTGTCTTTTTTCTTGCTTAATTTAATAAATCTGTGTCCTTCAAAATAATATCTAATTTACAAATTTAGCAAATTATATATTTCAAATTTTTACTGCATTTTTTTACCGTAGCATACCCTGAAAATAGGAAAGATTAAAAATTTAAAGATGCCATAAACTATTCACATGATTTCTGAGAAACCACACCAGACCAAGTTTCCTGATTATTACCTTGTAATCCATCTTTTTAATAAGCGCCGTGAGCCCTGCTGCGCACATAAACCCGGCTCGTCTAGACACGCACTCACAGATATATCGTAGAGCTGATAGATCAGCCTCACATACATCAGACAATCCTAGTTCACCAACAACCTCGCGACCTCTAAAAATAAGATGATAAGATCAGTAAGAAAATGGTAGAATTTGGTTTAATCTTCAATCCCGGTCTTTTAAAAATACATTTTTTTAAAGATATTCTTAACGTTTCCATTATCTGAGAAACCATGCCTGGGATTATTTGATTTTAATTGGATTAAAACTTTTAAATTTAAAACTCCGGCCACTTTCTTTCTCCTCTTCTATAGTCTTTAATAAATAGTTTTTTTTTAATTATGTACCTGTCATAATGCCCAACAGCGTCAGCTTCAATCTGAGACAGAAACCTGGATAAATATGTATATATATTATATATTATTCAGATTTTAATATAATAATACACTGGTAGGAGAACCTGGATAGATATGTATATATATTATTCAGATTTTAATATAATAATACACTAGAATGCTTAAAATTGTTAAAAGGACTGTAGAGTGCAGATGAAGTACACCTCAATTTATGAAAAATAACTTGGTATGCTTAATTCACAACAGTACACGTCAAACCTTTGTTTGCTCATCTATGCAGGATATAGAAGGGGATGATCCCTTTGGTGTACTGTCCCGGTTTGTCGTCTCTATTCTGTACAATGGTACAAGGATACAGTACAACTTTTCAGGTATGTATACCTGGTTGGAAAAGCTCCCTTCTGACTAAGAACAGAAGTATCCTGGTTTGTAAATATTAATCCTTCCTCGATCATATCTTCTAGGACTAGTCTCACTAGCTCTCCCATATACATACCACTAAACACCAAACCAATCTTTCTTTTTATATAAACTATTCAATTGGATACATTAAATGTCATTGAGTTTGGAGGTTTTAAACGAAAGCCTCAATGGCCTAAGGGATTTGAATTAAAGAGGATTAAGAGAAAAGAAATACAATTACATACAATATATACATCTTTCTAAAATAACGTACCTCTGACCCTTTAGTAAAAGTAAATTAAAACTAAATTCTGACCGCGTCAACCTTGTTGAGTGTCTGCTTTATTTACTCAATGGCAAACTCAGTACAAACTGGGACCGGAAAGGTTGACCCGGCTCGGAAATTCAAATGTACTACGGCTGCCCGTGAAATTAGGGATAGTTAATAATTTAAATAAGAAATGAGTTTAGGAATAAAAGGATGATTAAAGATAAAGACTGAACAAATTGCTTGTTAAAGATTAGAAAGTAGGTTAGTATTGAAAATATAAAAATATAACAAATAAAAATATAACAAATAAGAAAAGATAGATTTCCTGATCATTTTCTCAAAAATCTGTTTTCCCGGATTCAAGGATTGTTCATCTATCTCCTCATCCCATTTGGTTCGGATGAAATCCAACTCTCCGTAATCTCCGAACGCTCCCCACTCTGTATTTATGATGATGTCTGAACCTGAACCTTGCTCCGGGTCATGGTTTAAGGTTCCAACCTTGGATTCTTTCTCCAGATAGCAGGCGTTAGTTCCAGTTCCTAAAGTATATTAACTCAGAATTGTTTTGAGCCCGGTCAAGGTGTCTGATACGAGATTTCAAGATGTCAAGATTTAGGTCTGAATTAGATATCCACCATTCTGTTTGAAAATTGTTTATTTTCTTTTTTGAGTTTTTTTGCACATATCTTCTTTACAAAACATTGAAGAATTTATCAAAAATCAATGTTTTAGCCAGAAAAGCAATGTTTTATTCTACATTATTGATCATATTAAGGTATCAAGGGTATCGTTGTGAATCGGGCATGCTCCTTTGTTTTTCTTTTTCTTTCTATTTAAGGGTCGTTAATTTTTATTATTAAGTGCTGTACATGCCCTGAACAGTTTTGATACAAACTTTGTCATTAGATAAAGGTCGTCTTTCAATTTTCCTGTTTATTGGGACACCTTGTATTATAAAAATGGCTATCCACAAAGGATGAGACTGTAAAGACAACTAAAAACTAAAAAAATAGGACGATAAAAAAGGTAAATAAAGTCTTTTTTCCTTAAATAAACCTAGACTTTTAATAGCTTCTTCAATGATTTGACAAAGAAAGGAACACAGTTTTTCAGAAATCCATGAATACAAGGAACCAGACAATAGAAATTTCGTACAGTCGTCTCTGATGTCTCATCTCTATCTATTCACCTAGGATAAGTCCAATACGACATTTTGGTTCCTTCCAACCACACGACATCAAGGTTCCTGAATAGAACCAACAATTAAACAAGAAGATGTCTCGAGTGAGGCTCCATGCAAAGATGGCAATTTCCATATTCACAAGTGTACCCTAAACTGTACCCTAAACTGTACCCTAAACTGTACCCTAAACTGTTCCCTAAACTGTTCCCTAAACTGTTCCCTAAACTGTTCCCTAAAAGCTTTGTCTGATCAAGTTTAAAGTAAATATTTTAATAAGTATATAATTTTGAAAATGGATTACTTTTAGTTTCTCTAAAAAAGTGGATTGAGCTTTTCTATACTGCAGGAGTTATCAGAATTTAATCCTATAAAAGCTGGGGGGTCTGCATCTATGTATAGCCTGGGGGAAGGAGCATAGTTACTCTATAGTATAGCCGGTAGCATTGCATAATCATGGCTCATTAAAAAATTAGACTGCTCTCTTTAATAGTTTGGGCGCTAGAGAGGTTTAATCACAAAAAAGATTGTGCAACTACATATTTTTTACATGGACTGGCCTTGTAAGCGCCCTGTGTACACTGCCCTTCACATTTAAACAAAATAAAAAATCCTTTAAATTACTTAATCCTTAAAATTAAAAAAAAATTCAGGGGGAAAGTGTCAAAAATGAGAGTGCTGTGGGAAAAACTAGAGGGTTTAGGGTTAACAATTTTAATGTAGAAAAACGACAATGTCTTCCCCATTATTAAATAGTTGAAGGTTTTATTGGTACCATTGTGAATCAGTCATTTCCATCTTTGCATAAATCATTACTTGAAATTACGATTATATTTTTTTAAGTATAAAACGTACCGGTTGTATCATTCAGTATTGCGCAAACATCAATTTTTAGATCGCCTCTACGAGAAATTGCTTCTTTAAGAAGATGAACAACATCCTCTCCTTCAACACCAGCACACTTAAACCCTTTCGTCCACTGAGCCAGACGACCTAGAGTATATTTGTTAGACCAATGTTTTCATATTCCCTGTTGTACTGACTACCTTGAGCTAATCCGTCCTGGATAAGAGGAAAACTAAAGGTGAAGCCGAGAGGAAGAGTTAGGTCTCCAAGGTTGTATTGAACGATAAACCCGGCGAGACAGCTGGCGATATGATCGAAGAGATTATCTCCTTTCCCCAGCATCAGTTCCTCAGAGATAGAATAGATCTCAGACTCCATCAGGAAATATCCTTCACTGTAATTAGTAATGTCTAATAAATTGGGTTTTTTGCACTTTATAAAGGTTCTACAGGTAGTGATGTGCAAAAAAATGGTTTTGTTTTCATTCACATTTTGAGCTAAATAGTTTTGCTTCCTTCTTTTTTTTACTTTTCCGTCGGTGATTTAGTTTTAAGTAAAAAAAACAATAAAAACACAACTCCGAATAGGTTTCAAATTGTTTAAATTATATATTAAAACAATAAGACAAGACTGATTCCAGTCCAGGGTGCCTGGTTGCTAACAACTAAAGAAACTTAATGGACGACCTAAAACTAACAGAAAAATAGGATGAATTTTGATTCTGCATTATATATAATTCATTAAATGATCTGGAAAAGAAATAAACAAGTTTATGTTTCATTGAATCAAGAATGTAGGAAAAACGACTAAAGAAGTTATACGTAAAGTCGTCTCTGAAGTCTCATTCTTTGTGGGTAACCCTGCATCCTGCAATACCCTAAGTAAGAATATAACCAACCTGATATTAATGAGTAGAACCCTGAAATTTGTTCCTCCTAGATCCAGAGCCAGGAACCGTCCCTTCTCTCTTCCTGTTGGGAGTTTACGTACATAGGTTGGATAGCACTTTACACTAGACTAAATATGATGATATTTACAACCAATGGTTTATGCAGAGTGTCCAAATATTTTTAGTACGTTTAAGTTAATTTATAGGCTGTATTGTTTATAGGCTGTATTGTTTATAGGCTGTATTGTTTATAGGCTGTATTGTTTATAGGCTGTATTGTTTATAGGCTGTATTGTTTATAGGCTGTATTGTTTATTTAAACTCCTCAAAATCTACTAAACACCTAAGGATTTTATTTTTAAATAAGGTTATCATACGCTTTACAAGACTATTTCACTTTTTATATCACTTAGAAATTTACAGAAAATATTCACAAACATAAGAACTTTATTTCATGGACATCTTAGAAGATAAAAAAAAATAAAAACCTTAGATACACACCAAACGCGACAACGAAGCTTCAATAAAATAATGTTAAAGATATTTTTAATTGTGTATTTTTTATGGTTTTGGTTTCTCGTTGTATTTAATAGTGCTTCGAATTTTTATTTCCAATCACTGAGATATAGAATTATATAAATATATACCTATTAACATAGATGATTTTATATATGATTAGCTTTTACCATAATTGTAATAACATTGAAAAAAGTCAAAATTTAAAATCTGATTATTTGAATTCCCAGAACAGTTAAAAGTAAAATGTTTAGTTTAATGTCAGCAGAATGATTAAATAAAATTTATTAAATATTTGTTGGAATATAAATCATCTTTAAGTAAAATTATTATAATTTTGTTTGAATATAAGAAAGATGATACCTGATCATGATGTTCTTTATCTAACCCCTGATCAAATATCAAACATAACGTCCAGATCAATTCAAGTAAAAGTACAGGGGTTTAGAATATGATTAAAGGGACTGTACAGGGGTTATATTAAAAGTCTAAATCAGGCTGCAAAGATATAGAAATATAGAAATATAGAAAATTTGAGTTTGTGGAGAAGACTCAATTTCTTTGCTTTTTAGTTTCACCAAAAAAAGAGATTTTGAAACAATTATCAGTTGTTGGCTCTATTATCCGTTGTTGGCTCTATTATCAGTTGTTGGCTCTATTTCTAACGAGATGGTTTATCAAAGTCATGTTAATTTGAAAACTTCTGAAAAATTGGAAAATGTTTTTTCAAAAATTTAAATTCTAAAACTTCTTGCAAAGGAATATTACTAAAGTTATAAAAGAGGAGTAATCCTCGACCCCTCACTCCTCTTCCACATGGTTTCGATATTTTGACTGGTTCCTTAGAAATAGAATCCCTGAGCCTCATCTCTACAAGATGAATATGATCATTGTTTACTACAAGATCTCTACACAGATCTTCAACCTTCCTTCTCGTCTCACAGATCAGATGAGGTTTATACGTCTTCATGGAGATGGATGTACACCGAACCCGTCCTTCTCCAGGTACACTTTCACGTCTAGATACAAAAATTGATCCGGAGTACGGACGATCAAAGAAACTTGATCGGCGAGTGCGAGCATATTGCAATCGATTTTCATTCTCTCCCGAAAGAATTGAGTTCAATATTTCACATTGGCAAAAAAGAAATTTCACGAATACCTACCTCAAAGTACTTAAAATTGAAGTAATGCATATATTTTAATTCATTCTTAAAAATTTGAATTCCGCTTTTTTATTTCTTGTGCCTTGAGCAGTATTGGACCCAATTTAGATATGCATGTAATGTTAAAATAAAACAAGGTAATCTAAATCTTTTTTATTCAAATAATCTTTTTCATTAATATATTGTTTTCAGTCATAGGTGTGTCAAAAGGGTCAAAAGTGTCAAACACAATTAAAATTATAAAATAGAATTGATTTTTACATAAAGAAACCAAAAAAACGTGTGATTGAAAATATTGAGATTACGGTGTAAAATAATAATGTCAATTTGAAATAAAAAACAACATAAAGATAATACGGCTCCTATATCATAAAGTATTTGTATTCAAAAACAAAAAATATTTTTAAAACACAATATAAATTTTTACCTAATTGACCACTTGTTCCCAGCACTTCCTTTCCTTCCTGTAGTTTCATTATTGCACTTCTTTTCCCCCTTCTCATTCATTAATTCATTATTTCATTAATTCATTAATTCATTATTTCATTAATTCATTAATTCATTAATTCATTAATTCATTAATTCATTATTTCATTAATTCATTAATTCATTAATTCATTAATTCATTATTTCATTTATTCATTACTTCATTAATTTATGTATTCATGCACGTATTTATTCACATATTTCTTAATTCATTCATACTTTATTTATTCATTGTTTAGACCCATTACATGATATTTGATATTAACATTTCATTCATTCTTTCAATTCAAATATATTTTTTTCTTCCAAGAATTTATAAATTCAAATCAAATTGTTAGGAAATGCATAAAATGTGATTACGATAAAGTTCAACATTAGATTATGAGTATCCATGTTTAGACTTCCATAAATCCAACCACTCCATCACATTCAATTCGTGAATTAAAATTTTCCTGGAGTGATGAAATCGTATCCAACCTTTCATCTGTTCTCTCTGTATCCATCCTTTCTTCCATCATCTCATTCATCCTCTCATTTGTTATCAGAACCATTTCTCCGGGTCTAGTTAAAATTCTGAAATAGCTTTGCTGTGCTCTTGGTGCATATTATGAAGCAAAAGTAAGATAATTATGATAAAACTAAGTTCAGTGAACTAGGATAATATGGTTTAGAGAATAAGGATAAAAAATTAGAAAACTAGGATAAGACTGGGTTTAGAGAACTAGTTTAAGACTGGATAATGCTAGGTTTATAGAACTAGGATAACGCTAGGTTTAGAGAACTAGGATACTGCTAGGTTTAGAGAACTAGGATAATGCTAGATTTAGAGAACTAGGATACTGCTAGGTATAGAGAACTAAGACAATGCTAAGTATAGAGTACTAGAATACTGCTAGGTTTAGAGAACTAGGATAATGCTAGGTTTAAAGAACTAGGATAATGCTAGGTTTATAGAACTAGGATAATGATAGGTTTAGAGAACTAGGATAATGCTAGGTTTAGAGAACTAGGATAATGCTAGGTTTAGAAAACTAGGATACTGCTAGGTTTATAGAACTAGGATACTGCTAGGTTTAGAGAACTAGGATAATGCTAGGTTTAGAGAACTAGGATACTGCTAGGTTTAGAGAACTATGATACTGCTAGGTTTAGAGAACTAGGATAATGCTATGTTTAGAGAACTATGAACGAAAAAAAAAAACAATTTTATGTGGTGTTCCTCAGGGAAGTGTTCTTGGGACCCTACTTTTTCTCATATACATAAACGATATGCCTTTAGCAACGTCTTCTTTTACTAATCTATTTGCTGATGACACTAGTTTTCTAAAATCATCTCCACATATCAAAACTTTAGTAATTGACGCGAACTTTGAACTAAAAAAGGCAGCTGCATGGTTTCAGGCAAACCGTTTAACACTAAATGTTTCCAAAACAAAGTTTATGATATTTAGGAATAAAAATATGCATTTTGATCCTGAGAACTGCAAATTAAAAATTGGAAATGAGATAATAGAAAGAATAGGAACTGACTATACAAATAAATATTTCAAATTTGTTGGACTAAAAATTGATGAATTTTTAAATTGGGGCTATCAAATTGAACATGTTTCCAATAAGATTGCTAGCTCAATTTTTGCTCTGAATCAGATTAAAATCATTTTACCGTTAGTCTATAATGCACTTGTAAGGCCACATATTGAGTATGGAATTATAACATGGGGGGACGTAAAAAATGCTAAACTACAGAAAATCAAGTCTTTGCAAAAAAGGGCAATTAGAGCAGTAAATAATAGTTCATTTAAGGCACATTCAGATCCAATATTTTTCAGATTAGAACTCCTAAATCTTGATGATACATATAAACTAGGTGTTCTATCTTTTATGCATAAATACTTTTATGAAAACCTTCCAGCTTCCTTCCAGGATATGTTTAATTCTTTAGCTGAACCAAATAGAACAAAATCATATAAACTTGAGCGAGTTCTCTTTAAAACCCTAGAAAGTTTTCCCTCTGCCTTATTTCCAAAAATATGGAATTCTATTGAATTAGAGCTTAAAGAAANAGGATAATGCTAGGTTTATAGAACTAGGATAATGCTAGGTTTAGAGAACTAGGATAATGCTAGGTTTAGAGAACTAGGATAATGCTAGGTTTAGAGAACAAGGGTAAGACCACTAAAAAGTTTATCTTGAAGCTCGTCAAGGATTTAAATTTATTGTAATGTCTCCTTCTGGCTGAGACATTGTCATTCATGAATATGTACTCGGCTCTTTTAACTAATTTTTCAAAATTCTTCAACTATTTAACCAAACAAAAAATGTTCAGGCCCCGGGCACATATTTCAGATCTAAGGTTTAATAATCAAAAATTACTTTTTGAAATAGGCCAACAATCCCATTAAGATCTATCTCGGTGTACTATCTAGGTATAACTAAACTCTACTGTTGAATCGTGCAGACTGAGAGTAACTTTATTAAAATCATGTGTATTCTGCTCTACTCTAATTCACCTCAGGGTAATAAACTTCAAGAAACAATAGATTCATATTTGGTTTATTTTAAAAGGGAAGGGGGGGGGGGTAGGGATTACAGTTATATACACAGTACGGATAAACCTATTCAACCGAGATTAAATATTGTTTATTATAAACCTTTTATCCAGTGGTTATATTAGAGTTGATATAAAGAAGATAGATACAGATGGATATAAATTGTAATGTATATATCTGGATAAGATATATACATTACAATATTTTTAATACTAGTGCAATAAATATAGTAATAACCCCCATATCTTGGAAACCTTAACCTACCTGTACATATAGTAATAACCCTAATTAACATGTCTTGTATATATAAATATATTCGTTCCTCTCTGAACAGACCTATCAGTCAATTACTTTTTACCTGCGTTATTAAACCCTAAATATAGTTAGTTGAATATGAATCTGTTTGATTACGGTCAGAGTTAGTTCTCGGTAGAGAGTTTAGAGTTTGAGAGCGAGTTGCATCTGGATTGACTTACTCAAGAATACAGAGAGAGTTGTATCTGGATTGATACATACTTTAGAATACAGAGAGAGTTGTATCTGGATTGATACATACTCAAGAATACGGAGAGAGTTGTATCTGGATTGATACATACTCAAGAATACAGAAATAGTTGTATCTGAATTGATACATACTCAAGAATACAGAAAGAGTTGTATCTGAATTGATACATACTTAAGAATACAGAGAGAGTTGTATCTGAATTGATACATACTCAAGAATACAGAAAGAGTTGTATCTGAATTGATACATACTTAAGAATACAGAGAGAGTTGTATCTGAATTGATACATACTCAAGAATACAGAAAGAGTTGNTATATATATATATATATATATATGTTGCGTATATCCTGGACAGAATGGGCGGAATTTTTTTGTGGAACGCAGGGCTCTTCAGCTAGTTACATATAAAATAAGACATTTATATATATATATGTTGAGTATAGCCGGCCAACCGACTGGACTGAATGGGCAGAAATTTGTTGTGGACACTCATGAGTGTTGTAGGTTAAAAAAATTCGAAAATTTTATTGTTTAAAGTTTTTATTTCTTTTAAATATTTTTTTTCTATTTTTATTTTTTTTCCAGGGGCAACGCCGGGCCCTTCAGCTAGTTAGATATAAAACAAGACATTTATATATATGTTGCGTATTGCCGGCCAAACGACTGGACCGATTGGGCTGAAATTTTTTGTGGACACTCGGTGATATAAGCTAAAAAAATTTGATTTTTTTCTTCAAAATTTACAGCTAGTATTACATATTTACACTCACAGACACTAGTCTGCGTACTAGATAGTCTACAGACTTTTCTTTTCTAAATTGTACTATTGAGCTATGAGATATACCAGATTCCCAAAAGACTTAAATTCTCATCATTATTTATCCCAAAAGACTTAAATTCTCATCAATATTAATCCCAACAAACAAAAAAATCACATCAATATTGATCCCAACAAACTTAAATTCTCATCAATATTGATCCCAACAATCTTAAATTCTCATCAATATTGATCCCAACAAACTTAGATTCTCATCAAAATTGATCCCAACAAACTTAAATTCTAGTCAATATTGATCCCAACAAACTTAGGGTCTTATCAATATTAATTCCCAACAAACTTAAATTCTCAACAATATTGATCCCAACAAACTTAAATTCTCAACAATATTGATCCCAACAATCTTAAATTCTCAACAATATTGATCCCAACAAACTTAAATTATCAACAATATTGATCCCAACAATCTTAAATTCTCATCAATATTGATCCCAACAAACTTAAATTCTCATCAATA